GCTAAGTCATAATTATGAGATACAAGTTTTATTTTTTATCAGGGTGGCGGGAATGGGCTTCCATAGATTATTATACTTTAAACAGCTAAAATTTGCTGCCTCTCAGAGGGCGTGGTTAGTTGCCATGAAAACGTGTCACCATTTTTTGTAAACTGAAACAGAAGTTTTCATCACGGACTAAAGAAGATTCTTGTTTAAGGAGCAAAACTGACGTTTGTTTCAGTCACACACCTGATAATTGTAGAAATGTTCAAAGCTCTGTTTTTTTGACAGCACAGACATGCCAGAGCTCGTCAAAACGTTGCTTCAGCCACTCAGGAGTTCTCACCACAAAAAGAAAAAGAAGAGTAAAGGTTCTGCAACTGCTCCAGAACATACAGGTAAATATTAATCTGCTGTGGGATGCATGCGCTTATTCTTCACTTCAAATCAGCTCCTTTCAAATATAGAGAAGTCAGACCTCAAATCTGTAAAAAATAAATGTTTGTTTTTCAACATTATTGTCCAATAATGTGTAAAAATGTATCAGATCWTAAGAGAACTGACCTCCTGTATCATCTCACTCACTGTAAACTGTTTAGGCTCTGTAATATTAACTCAGTGTGTGATGATGATCAGTAAACATCCTGTTTATGATACCTCCCTGCAGAGAAACCTCTATCAATGAGTCCTGACACCTCACCGGTTTCCCTGCTGTCCCATCCAGACCCAGGTCCAGATCAAGACCACCTTCCCAACTTTGGAGTGTTCGGTGAAAAAAACAGAGAACTGTGCACTGTTAGGAGCCAGAAAACCAAAAAGTGCCACAAGGATTCACAGTTYCCACCGACTGCAACTCCTAAAACCAGCAGAAATGGATCTCCAGCTCCGGGGACCAAGCTCAGCAACCAGGACAATGAGAGTCTGAGGTGGGAAGGAGAGCTGCAGGACCCCCAGGAGGAGGCAAAGAGGCTGGAGATTTACAGGGCTAACAGGCGAAAGCGTTACATCGCACWCAGAGAGGCTTTGTCAAAGGAAACCCAGTATGCCTTGAGACAGACCTTTCTTTAAAAGTGTTGACAGGAAAACACTGTTTTCATCAAGAAACAGTCACTGTTGCATCTGTCATCTAAAAGATAAAATGTTCACAAATAAAACTGGATCATAGTGGTTCAGCTGATCTGGACTTGTTTAATTTAAACCAGATTTAGTCACGGCTGCTGACAGCATCATTAAGGGGAAACAGAAGTACTAAAATAAATGTGGGTGAAACAGTACCAGCTTTGGCCAGCAGAGGGCAGAGTGAAACTGTGAGTGAATCAGATGACGTAACACTGACACAACCCATTTTGTTACCTGGCTATCTGAACAGACAGTGAATACTGGGATGAGAATTACCCAAAAAGAAGGAAGACAAGTGATGAAAAATGTCAACTGAATGACTTGTTCACTCTGTGATAAAAAAGACTAATTATAAGTAAAGTTTCAATGTGTCTTTTTATCGTAAACAATTTAAATGAAGCTATTTGTAGTTAATTTTGTGGGRGAAATAATGACAGTTGTTGGATGAAGACAGAAATAGACCAGCAGAAAGTGGAGAAATAAAAACAGGTTGTAAATATTTTGTCACAAAGCTTTTGTTTGTTGGTGGGTTTTGTCTAATTCAGCTCCTCTTAAATAAAAAAAGTGACTCCCCAGTGTCCTCATCGCCCCATCTCTGACTCACTGAACCACARACACATGAGGATCAGATGGGATTCATGTCTCTTTGAGAGATCTGTTTCTTATAGAGACATTTAATTTTGAACATTATAGTTGTTTAAATTATTTTTTTACAGATGAGATTTATTATTTGCAGTCATATTTAACACAACTGAAATTTTATAGTTTAGTCAAATAATACAAGAAGTAAATAAAGCAATAAAACATGAAAGACAGGACTCAAAGAGCGTCATCTGAAAAGTAGAGGTTGTCTTTTCTTTACTATTTCAAACCAACAATTAACATTTTAGACATTTGATGATTTTTTTTAAAAATTGTATTAATCCTAAAACACACATCAGAGCATTGAGAATAAAGCCTCAAAATCACATCTGTCGTTACAATCAAAATATCTGAATAACAACAAATAGCATTACATTTTCACATTATCTTTAACATTTGAAAGTTTTTACAGATCCAGTTATATTTAAAACACAAATAAGTTTTGTCATGGCATGAAATCAGCATCTGTGTCAAAACTTCAGTCTGTAATCCTTTTACCACCATTGATCCTAACAGAAACAGAGGATTTCTGTTTTTACATCATGATCCTCTTCTGCTGGAACAGAGTGACCAGCGTTGCACCTTTGCAGCTCCTGCTGGTTTGGGTTTCTTCTCGGACGCGTGGCAGGCGGACCCTCTCCGTCTTGTGCTCTCTTTCGTTGTAGGGACACACCTTCAGATGCTCGGAGATGGACGCAGCGTCTCGGAAGCACCAGGAGTCCACAGGAGAGAACAGAGTGCTGAACTGCCAGACCTGAAGGGTCAGAGAGATAACATTTTAACTTATTTATTTATTGTCAACATTTTTTTTTAATTTGGGGTTTGTTTCAGTTTGATTAACCAGAAATCACCGAATTCCACAAATAAATGTACCTTCTGTGTCACCCTCCACTTGGCTCGGCCTTGTAAGGTGGTCGTCTTCTCCCAGCGGAGGGTGACCATCCCTCTGTCCTGCAGCAGAGAGGAGCACACCTGCCTCATGAGCCGGGACACCTGAGACAACTGGGACAGGGACAGGCTGTCCAGGAAGCTGGCCATGTGGACCAACACCTCGTAGGGCAGCGAGCTGARGGAGTCCTCCTCTCCTCCTGGAGCCGCGGAGCCTGAAGGGCTGCTGGACAGCTGGGAAGGACAGGGATGGATGAGGGGATGTAGGCTGAAGCAGCCCAGCTCCTCACTGAAAGAAAATATAAAAACTACGAATCAGGTGTTTATTTTCTACAGAGAAGCGAYGGGTTAGTCATTTTCTTTAGGTTTAAATAAAGTCAAGCACAACTAAAACACAGTTTCTGTTAAATTATCATATTTCATATCCAAAGTATCTTTTTTTTATCTCACTTGTAGGTGATGGTGGCCTCATGAGTGGCGGGTTGAAACCTCCTCTGGCTGAAGGTGCATCCCAGATAGGCCAGAGGGCACCTCTGTTCAAACCAACCGTTCACACCCATCTGGATGTCACTGTGGATGTTCCTGGGTTAGGCAGCACAKTAAATGTTATAAACTAGACCAGGGGTGTCAAACTCAACTTCACAGAGGACCACCTGAGCGTTACAGTTTCCCTCAAAGTTTCAGTTCTAATTAATTTTGATGTTTCATGCTTAACTGTGACTAAAAACCAGGGTTCCTACAGTTTAAAGCAAGTTACATTTAAGACTTTTTAATGCC